AACGAACTAAATAAGTAGTACGTAATAATTAAATTTAAATTTAGTTAGTTAAATTTTAAATTTAAAGTTAAAGGTAAGATACGTCTCTACTACTACTATATATATATATATATATATATATATATATATATATATATATATGGGCAGTGATTTCATGCAATGGTTGTATAGTAATATGATACAACCACCTTCAAAAACTATGTTAGGGCCATTTGTTTGATCCAAATTTTAAAATATATACTCTTTTCATTCCAATGAACAATCACAAAAGAGAAAAATTTGAAAACAACCTAGAAAGTGTCTTTTTAGCCCAATTAACATAGGATGTCCATTTTGGTGAGATGCTTAGATCTACGCATTAGAGTGATCTTTTTTCTTTCCAAAATGTTTAGATGATATATATGTGTGTGTGTGTGTGTGTGTATTTAAATACCTAGAAAACAATACTTAAAATTTTAAGGTAAAATTGACAAACAAATACAGCACACACTTCTGAAATAATTCATTATGACTAGAGAACAAGAATGATGACAATTGGGTAGCAAGAGCAATCTCATAATACAAGGATCATGACATTTGATAGCAGTCTTAATTCTTTAGCATTCATTACGATGCAACCTTTGTACATTGATCAACAGTATTCAAGGCAATAATTCTTCCTCATCAATGTGATTGTCCCCTTATTATCTACGTTTGTAGGTAACCGATAGGTTGAGTTTGTCAACTAATATGCATTTCCAAAGTCTCGGTTACCTATGGAGAAAGGTCTATAGCGTTTCCCAAAAGATTCTATAATACTAGGTTACGTTACCTAGGTGCGAACTTACTTATCAAAATCGGATACGAAGATATCATATGGGATACATCAAACTGGCATGTCTAGTGACTCGTGTGGTATTTGAAACGTCTTCCCAGTTACATCGTGAATCTTTCAGATAGACCTCTTAAAGAATTAGAAGGGTTGGTATAATGCGATGTTTGATCGAAATTACAATTCTACAAGTTCAGAATGAAAAACTGCCATCCCATTCAATTCAAATGGGATGCCTCCAGCTCTGACATGTCTCTTAGGAGAAGTAACATGAAGCTCAGAATTTTGGGTCTATTCAATTCTTCCAAATGAAAGAGGAATTGATTGACTATATTATCAAAAAATTAAAAAGAGTCATAGGAGATATGTACAAGTGGATCAAATAGGAGCATAGGTTGCATGTTGTTTGAGAAACACCCAATAGCAAGTGAATGGTTTTATCACATACAATTGCAAGTGAATGGTTTTATCACATACAAATTTTGTTCAACAATCACTTTTTATTCTTGTTTGCGCAAGATCTCAGCATTAATATCATAAATCTAATGCATAGAAAGAAATAGTAAATCTAAGATCCAGGCGAAGGTATCACGACCCAAAGACTTCAGCATACACTTCTTCAGGTAAATGTTCATGCAACAAATTCCAGATTTCTGTCATGCAACTATGAATATAAGGACTAGCATTGTAATGTACTAAATACATACCCACTCAGTTGCTCGAGTTTGTGCCTATCTGGTTGTCCAATCACATCAGCAATTCTCTTCAATACATCATATCCCTGTAAAAGGGAGAAACAGACAGGACAGTACGAGTCAAACCTCATTAATTGGTACTATAACACCATTTGCACAATAAGTTTTTTTTTCTTTTCTCCCCTTTTTGCTTTCTTGACAGATACGATTTGCACAAAAGATTTAAGAAACCCAATTACACAACCATAGATCCAAAATCCAACTGGAAAGGTTACCAACTTGAATACAACAAATGAAATGGCTATTCAAAGGGGTGTAATGATTTTCAGCCAAAGCCTCAACACTTTGCTGATGATGAGTTCACCAGCACAGTAGCCTCAAAGCACAATCAAAATCCTTCACAAAAATAACAACTCTCAAGGAGTATGAACCCCAAACACAAGGCTTCTTGGGTGCTTGACCGAGATCCTCTAGGGTTCAATGGCTGGACAGGCTGCAGATGTACCATGCTTTCACACAAGTTATGCAAAGACCCTGAGTGAGGATACAAAGCAACCCTATGAAAGACATCCATAAGAGTGCCACCACCAGCTTTGACAAGGTGGTGTTCTGCTTAATCTGAACAAAAGTAGTCCTCATGCATGCAGAGCAGTATCCAACGTAAGACAAGGGATCTCATAAATTAAACTAAGCAGAGGACAACAACAGTCTGTGGTTTCTAGAGAAAGACAGACTGAGGAGGATTTGCAATATGGCAAAGAGCATGGTACTACTAAGAAGCCAAGTGGCAACCTAGGTGCCACCTAGAACCAGAGTGAAAGAAATTTGCACCCACCATTGCACAGGCAGCTGCCTGACTAGAGTGCTTATGCATTAGATGGATCTGAAGGCTTATAGCCCCCAAGTCGTGCGTAATCTAGACCACTCTCTTGAGTAAAAGACAGGGTCAAAGAGCTGATTCAATTTTCTTTTCATTGAATTGGGGAAACTGTAAAGTGTCTCAAAACCAAAATTATTTGTTTTAGAAGTTTGTGGTAGCTTAGAAGCACTGTGTTGGAGATGTGCTGAGGCTCTTTTCTTTCCTGAACAAGTCGACTGGACCACCAGGTTGCTTTCCTGTACACTAGGAAAGGGTTGTACAGAGCTCATAGTTTCTCTTTACAATCCACCAAGTTCAATCCCCACAACCACAAGGACTATAATTTATGATATCTAAGGAGCATAGAAGATTCTACACAAACCTAGGATGAAGTAAAGCCAGCTAGAAATGTCTAAAAGTCACTAGAGTAGCCCCACAGTTCTCCAGTCTAGACTACTATCAACATAATTGTAAAATGAAATGAGGAGACATGAGTAGATGATCAAGCCCCCATAAATACATAAGAATCCAAACCATTCATGTGGATATCATTTGCCTACAAATTGATAGGTTTCCCTCTGCTGGATGCAACCCATAGAATCCTCAGAATTGGAAACTGTGATGGCAATGTCCGACTATTATGTGGGTGCTTGGGCTGGCGATCAATTGTCTTTACGTGAGACTCAGTGGTGACTTGCAGGAGTAGGTTGCTTTACAAGTTACATCATATATGCGACACATCAGAGGCAACAATCTCAAATACCAGTTAGCTTGATTCTTAAGTTCAGAGACTTCCTGCAGAATGTCAACGACATGATACAGGACAAGTAAAAAATGATACTAACCTAAAAGATGGCATAGTAACTGCAATCACAGCAAGCCTGAGAACCAACAACCCGGCAGATTTTATGTGAAGCAAAATATACTTGAACAACTAACTTCATGACTGACCAGTACCATAGCCATCATATTAAGATAGCCACCATTTAGATTGGACAGGAGATTTTAACTATCCGAAATGAAATGTACAACTTGCATTCATAGATAACTAGAAAGTAGGAGACTTCAAGCTGAAAGGAGAAAGGAGAAAGATCAAGTGGCAGAGGAAATATGTAAAACATGAGTCAATGGACTTACCTTTGTAATAGTAGATTTGCTTAGCTTCCCGAGGGGCAACTTTTCAGCATTATAACCTAGACAAAAGAAGGAAATATTTGAAGGGATAAGAGAGCATAAAAGGCAATTCACATTGATTAAGTCATTAACCCAAATAATTAATTGTAGACATGGAAGCATTCAATATTCTACTAGCAGGATTCTCATTAGATGACATTTTTAACAAACCTAAAGTGACTACTGTATTAGACAAGATAAACAAAGGTTTGAATTTATTTTTACAAAGAAATCAGTTACCAACCAATCTCAAGCATTTGTTGCTTCATCATGCTAACATTGCAGATAAGTGAAATAAATTCTGCAATACGCCAATCCAGTCTTGTCTTACGTGGTTGAGCAGCAACTATGCAGTTATTGTGCTTATCTAACAAAAATAGTCATAGAATAACAGAGTCAGATAGTAAGTTCCAGTCAAATTTGAAAAATATAATGCAAGCTTCCTATGTAAAATCCTCGAGTAAAATGAGATCTTACCTTGGTCTGCTTTGTTTTTGCGTGTGTCTTCACTATAGTCCATTTCCAACCAAGTGTAACTTTTTGCATAAGGAATAAAAATTTTCCTATCGGACCAGCTGTTCTTTGTCTTGGAGACGAACTTTGACTGAAATTCATTAGCCGCACAATCACGTGAAGTGTAAGGACCAAATAGCTTGTCTTGACCCCTCACACCAACCCTTCCCCATCTTGTGTAAACCATGTACTTTCCACCACTATCAGCTTCTGCATTTGGTTTTGAAAATCATGTACAATTGTCATGAGGAAATTCAGTAGCTATACATGGTATATCAACCCTTGAGCAGTCAGGAGCTTTCTACAAAATTCAGAAAGGTCTCAATTTGAATTCCAGTTATAAATAGGTTCACTACTTATTGAAAACTTAAGGCCTTAACCACACAAGCGAAAGAAAGATTTTCAAGAAATACAAAGACTGAGTAAATACACATGAAAAAAAATCATGTCAAAGTTAACAGGACAGGGACCAAAATAAAGAACGAGAAGAGATAATCCAAAGTTTCGGTTCATTAAGTACATAGCAACAAATATATGTCACGTTATAAGCATAGGTGAACCAATATAAGGAGAAAATGGAAGAAACATTATTGCCATAAAGGTTGGAGAAGAGTCCATGATTGTGTTCCATGGTGATGATTTACAAAATAAATCAATAAAGCACAAGACACCACAATATGGTATGAAATTATGTACAAAATTTGAAATAAGCAATGAGCCTCTACATAATGGCTTGATCAATGTTAGATTCTGGTCAACATATAAGACCAACCAAAAGCAAGAAGAGATATTAATGATGTGTACAGAAAATGATTCCACAAATAAGAATTAGGCAGGAAACGAATTCCCCAAAACAACAAGACCAATGGTATGAGCTTGAAGAAAAAAAATGACTGATTTATGTAATCTTTTAATGGTAAGAGAATTGTAAAGCAATTAAATGTAATACATTTGAAAGAGTGGAGAATCTACCAAGAGCTTGAATGACATAGAACTTGTTGTTGTTCTGTCCAACATTTGTTTGATTCAATACGGCATCATAGATTTCATCCCCCTGACAAGGGTAAAGAAAATATTGAGAAGTAAACCCAAATGTAAATCAACCATAGCTAAAACATCAGAAACCAACCCTACCACAAACAGAAGCATGACCTAGAAATCCAAGTATCAGATGGCAGGGTAACTTCAAAGATCATAGTCAAACAAAGGAAAAAAGAAAAGGTAATGCACAAATCAGCATTATAATATAAAAAATTTGTACAGTACAATTTGCAAGAAAGGATCCACTTACTATTTGCAATACATGGTAGCCTAACTTTATGTCATCTGAAAGCCATTGATCCAAGATTGCACCACCCTTCTTAGTTGCTTTGACCAATTTCTCCTCCTTACATTCATCAACATCGTGAACTGTGATCATTTAAGTCAAACATTCATAGCATGGATTATTAAGGTTTTGTTAGATAATAAGCAATGCAGTCATGTCAATTACAAAATGGGAGCAACAAAACTGTGAAATCAAATAATTTAAAAGAGTGCAAGAAGAATGTAGTGTATCATCAGCATACAGTGTATTGTGGATTAAAGAGTCCTTAAAGGCATGTCAATTCATAAAATGAAAGTTGAAACTCCATTTGGAGACTGGGAGAACAATGGAATAATGATTGGAATCTTTAAAGGCTTCCTCATGCCAGTTGAGCAGCTAGGTGCGAAGGAAATGACATTAAAAACTATTTAATTCAATGCAAATATTCACAAAAGTTATTGTGCTGCAAACCCAAAGTGTTCTTACTTTTTTCTTTTCTTTCTTTTTCGTTTCTTTCTTTTTTTCTTTTTCTTTTTTTTTTGGGGGGGGAAAGGGGGGGGTTCTTGAGTTTAGGCATTGATCAATTAATAATAGTACTTTTCAAAATGATAATAACAAGTAACTTATGAGGGTAACAGCCCCTAGCTATGTATAATGTATTCGCATGGCATCACCACTAGGCCTAAATCTAACAAAAGAAAGGACTCGAGTTCAATGAAATTTTATTCTACAAGAAAGTTAACTAGAGGACCTTTCCATATCAAGGTGTCATTTATGTGGCATTGATGTTTTAGGCTTTAGCACTGCAGGGCAGTTCAACATTATTTTCTTTTAGATAAACCGTCATCTGGGATCATCTAGTTCAGTTCATCCAGAAAGTGAACAACCCACATAGCATACTCAATCATGTTCCAGTAAGAAGCTAGAGTTTCAGCGCAAGCCTAGGGGATAATATTTTAATTTCAACAGTCCAAGAAGTTTGGAAAAGGCCCTGAACACAGCACTCCAGAACTCAGAGGTCACAGGGCCCACTACTATCTGTTCTTCGCATAATTCCCAAATAGGTTGAAGTGATTGCCATCATGGTCCATGTGCATAGCTAAAGGCACAAAAGTTTCAATATGGTTCCCACCCAAAATACTGAAGAAACATGTCTCAAGGTACATAGCACATTCCCTATAAGCAAAACTGTAACATGCCACCCAATAAATTCAAAAAGTTCAACAAATCTCAAGTTTTTCCGGTAATTGTGCTGTTCAAATTCAATGGCCCTGATTTGTCTATGTGACATGCATGAACATCTCTGTAGTTTACATGTAATTTAAGAACCAATTCAAATCAGCCCTTCCCACAAATAAAGTTCAAGGCCGTCGATCCAAGAAGAGGAAGAATCCCAACCTAATAAAAAATTTGGAAAAGTAAGCCGAAAAGGTATGTGGAACGTCAAAAGACAGCTGCATTCCATCTCCGTCAACGCATACTGCTGGTTCTGAGTTAATAGATCACTCCAAACAAAGTTAAAAAGGAACCCCAAGTCCAAGGACCTCAAGTCCAGAAAGAGTTAAAAGCAGGATCCTTGCCTGCGAAAATTCATCATCCGTGTTGAACTCATTGTTCTCCCATGTTTCTTTAACTAGTCATCAAGCATGTTGCATGGGTATATACTAATAGGGTGTATCAAGAGGGCTTTCTAGTCTGAATGTGAGAATTTCTCCAACTGAACATGAGGAGCACAGTAGTCTACATTTGACAATGTGCGAATATGAAGGTTTTGAAAATACTTTAACTCGATCTTGTTCCAAGAACATAGTTGTTAAAACCTACTTAAACGAGGCTAAGCAAATAGACCAAAAATCAATCCCATGACATAAAAACCAAGTATACAACAAAGGAGGATTTTGCTTACTTGTAGAATCTTCTTTGGTAAGATCTCCATCCATCTCCATACTATTTGTGAGCCTCTCTATGAGTTCCTTTTTCAAACCAGAGGTCAATAAGCCACGAACTTCCAGCTCCTTTTGTAGTTCACGAACATTCATGTTGCTAAGGGATTTAATAATTTCGGATTTTGGGGGCAAAGAGTTGCCATTTTTGCTCTCTACTTCATTTTCATCACCATGATCGGTTAACTTGTCTTCCCTTTTTCTTTTCTTTGGAAGAGAAGTTTTTTCCTCCATTATGGCATTGTCCAGCCTACGAAGCTGAGAAAAAGCATAATTGTGAATCCATTCAGATATTCAAAGTATTCAACTCTCTGTATATTAAAAAAAAAAAAGCAGATAAATGTAGAAAGTTTCTCACAATCGACATTTCAAATGAATGTCTAATCCGCTGAGCAAACAGTTTTGTTCTGCTTAATTGGTCAACAAATAATCCAGTGAAATAAAATTTAGGTTAATTTTCAGAGAAAAGTAAAAACAAAAAAAACAAAAACAGAAACAAAAAGTCGAAACAGGAAATATACAGACTCGAAGACGTAACACACTTGTGAACAAAATCAATCTGAAATGCTTAATGTGTTTATCCTTGTAATGAGGTAATGTGTCCATTTATCATGTAAAAAATAAGATATTCG